CGCCCCAATCTCTTGCTACAACCTTTTCATTTAATATCTCATTCATCTGATTTGTCATTTGCTTGCACTTTCTCAAATCCATCGCTATTTCCTTTTTTAAACTGAACTGTGTTTCTTTTCAACAAGTCAAGACACTTTCAAAGTTTCGAAATGTCGGAAACGCGATCGTACTTCGATCGGCTCTAATACTGGCCTGAAAATTTTGTTGCGGTATCAAACGGAGGAAGAACATTTTGCAGTAACTACATAAAATGAAATCTTGGCCCCAGAGACTTTTCTAGGCGAGACTTTGTTTCTACAGATGCCTGTTCGGAGCGGGCGATTCAAGGTGGAGCGTGTAGGGAAATTCCCACGCGATTTAGGTAGGGTGTAATGCGTTAAAAGAGGAAGATAGCAGCTTTTAAGCATTCTTCAAAAATCCACAAGAGACAGGTATAATTTTTGCACCCTCTGAAACCACTTTATTTCCATACAGCAACTCCACTTATTTAAAGATTATTAAGCATCATGGGGAAAATAACGTTGAACCCCCTCCCCCGCCCCAAAAAAAAATAAATTCAAACAGCAAGTACAAGAAAACAGCCCAATCATCAATCAAATAAGTCAAAATTATTTGCAAAACAAAAGGACATGATATATAAAGCAGAACGCATAAAACAGTTAACTTTATGAAGTTCCAGCAAAAAATGAGAAAACACAATGACACAGGGCTACTTCAAACACGTAACAAATGTCCACTTTACGGCTTACGGAAACAAGTTCTGCAGCCGTAACTCCCTATTTCCATGTCAATGCTTAAGACTATACTCACCGGGTCCGGAGACTGTATAGATGTATCCATACATGCTCTCCTTCTCCGCGTCTGCCACCTTCATGAGGGGCTGCATTCCTTTACGTTCAGTCGTCTAGGAAAGAATAGATATTCAAAATATAACAAAATAAGCAAAAACATCAGAAACTTTTTCGAATTAGGGTTGCATGAAAAACCTAGATTTTTTTTCGTTCTACAGTTCTCAGCCAATAGGTGCATACACCAATCCCCCCCAAAATTAATCTGCCATGGAGACCAAGGTCAACAGAAAGTTGAAAACTTGCCACGGCCAAGCTATTTTTTATATTATTATTTTAAAGTTAAACAAAATGCACGATCACAGACATTAAAAAAAAATTGATTTAATAATGTTTAACAGCAGTATTATGACCAGGTCGACAGGTCAAGGTCAATGTCACAGGGCTGGTAGGATGAATTAAAGGTGTCATGTGCTAAAAACCTGCACTGACCACAAAGAAAATACCTGTTTGAAGGTTGTATAAGAGACCTCTGAGAATGCAATAGCAACATCTGGGGCCATTGAAATTTTCTCAATTTATAACTTCTTTCGACTTTGTGCTGTATCATGTAGATCTAGACTCTAGATCTAGATTTAGATTAGATCTAGGCATTGTTAAAGGTCATGTGGACGAGCTCCTAGTTATAATCCAGCAGTTTTTCCCGACTTAAATAGCAGAGTAGAGAAGAAGAGACTGAGAACAGTGAGGTGGATTGATTACAAAGCTTTATGGTATAGACATCTAGATATAGTGAAGTCCAAAGACTAAAAGGAAAATTTCAGGACAAGGCCTCGCCTGCACATCAACAAGAAAACTGACACGAGTAGATCTAAGACTGGATTGAATCTAGACTCTAGATCTAGTGACAGCCAACAAATTTCATGTTAGGCCTATGACAAGACTAATTGAGGGTATTGGGCAGAACTCCCTCCTTCGTGGTCCTCCGGTTTCTGGCAGATAATTATATTTAGATCTAGCATTCTGTCTGGTTAGCGGACAGGGCTTCTTAAAATTTGCCCTGACCCTGCAACATTTGTACCGACCAAGTCTCAGTCTCTTCTTGCCACCTTAAGTTGTGAACAGACTTATCATAATTTAAACTTAAACCAAGAGATGAAAAGAGGTTAACTGCTGATAGTCGGAGCTCTTAGCTTTGAGTATTGGTAACACAGATAATTGAAACATTTAATCAAAATGAATTAATATAAAATTTAATTCACCATTGTCAATAACAGTTTATTTTTCCAGCAGAAGTAGAAGCAGCAGAGGACTGTGGAGAGCTTAGGTAGGTCACAAACAGAGTATTATCTGCTGGAAGACGCGATCTTTCTATTTAACATATATAAAGGAAACTTTAAAGACAATCATGAGTGTCTCTTTCACATTTTCATTCATATCCGTAACGGAGCCATAATGCAATTAAGTAAAAATGTTCAATTTAACAAGAAACAACCGGTGCACTTACCATCTTCCTGCCGTCATATGATCACAAACTGCGCAAGTCTGCGCATGCCCAGTACATTAAATACGTGATATCCTCGTGATTTCCTCTTCCGGGGGTACTATTCATAACTTCTTTTTCTAAGAACAAAAACATTCGTCACGTTCTTGTTTTACTTATTTTATCACGCTAAAGCCAGTTCGCCTGATTTGTGTATAATTAATAATTCACTTTATAACATTAAGTGAGAAGGAATAAATAAATAGCAGCAATATTTACAGCTTATTATCGTTAAATAAGACTCATTGTTAACTAGCATAGCAAACCTGGTGCTTTCGTTTCACTGAATTCATAGAACAGCTAATCACACATCACGCGTTCAGAATGTTGTAGCTTTCAACGAGTCTCGAGGGGAAAAAATCTTTTCAACTTTCTCCCTCTGTAAATTATTTCAGAACAGAAAAGGCAGTCCCTATTTATTCCTCTGTACTCCACTGCCATAATACTACTATTCGTTGTCAGCAAAATCAATTTTTTTCTAAAACAGAAACATTTTCGTACGGCAGTGCTTACTTCTAAGATTTGTTTTTTTTGCTGATGCTGGATTGCGACCGAAGCCTACTCTTATCGATTTTAGACCACCAAGGGCGTGATTTAAAGTGCGCAACTAGCACACGGGACCTCCGATATTTTTCGCCCTTGTCTGAGAAGGCTAGGTGTAGATCTTTCCTACCAGAAGATCAGGGGTGTGGCTGAAAGACAACAGTAAGAAGTCGCCAAGGAGTAGCAGTAGAAAGGCTGCAGAAAGAGCCAGGAGACCACAGGAGGAGGCAAAGGAGGTGAGGGGGTGGGGGGCAGAAAGTGGAGACGAAAGCAGACGACAGAACATTGCTAGAGAGCAGGAAAGGAGTTGAAAGGAGATACTTTTAGTAGAGAAGAAAATGTTTCGGTCGTTACCGAGATTTAAATATGGGGCATTTGAATGAGAGGCGAACACGTTAACCTCCAGACCACGAGAGCCCCCTTAATACGTTTAACACTCCTAGCAATAGTAAGGTTATTTTAAGGCGAGACCTCCAAATTTAACCTTCAGCTCCAATAAGACCGAGCCAAATGGGTGGAGAGCTTTAAAAACTCAAAACGCTCCGTCGGGGATTCGAATCGAGGCTATCTGTCCTGCAGTCCAGCACATTACCAACTGACCTAACAGATGGTCAGTAATGGTTGTAAGTAATTTTTACAATGCGTATATTTAGGCATGATAAAACCGGAATCTGTGGTGTAGATGCTTCCCTTCACACGCGTGAGTCCGGGGTTCGTTTCCCGGGAGGGGATCATTTTTATCGAGTGTATCTCGACAGTCTTTATGTTGGGTTGTTTTATGACAGACAGTTCGGAAGTATTTTACTACTGTACAACAACAACGATGATGATGATGATGATGATGAGGAGGAGGAGGAGGAGGAGGAGGAGGAGGAGGAGGAGGAGGAGGAGGAGGAGGAGGAGGAGGAGGATGATGATGATGATGATGATAAATCCAATATAAATTCAAGTCAATCAAAGATTTGATAAAAACTTTATTACAAGAATATTATGGCAGTTGTATGGGGTGTTGGGATAAACACACGACAAAATGGAAAGAGAAAAAGGTATGGAAATATGGGAATGTGGATTGGGGTTGTGGGAAGGGGGGGGGGGGGGGGGGTGAAGGAAGATCAAAAATGAAGAAAATTTTTTTTTTTTTAAAGCATTTATACTGCGCATTGTCCATTTTCTAAAAGATGCTCAATGCGCATTACAACGAAAAAGACATCACATCTTAAAAATAACAACAACAAAAAGCTTATGACTCCTCCCATCCCCAGAAAAACGCAAAACGCGCGTAACATTATAGCATCAAATGCATGAGAATGTCGCATCGTACTATCAATGGAAGGGATCAAGCATAACTGTCATAAAATTAGTGAATGTGTTCATTTCCTTCACAAGTGAAAAATGTTTTTCTCTGTGTGCATTCATATGTCCCAGGTCTAGAGGAAGACTCTACTATTCTAAGCGACATTTTGCATATTTTACAGGAGAAGGAAAAAACTTCCTCATTTCAACAGAACGCAATTCTTGGAACCGAAACTCACACACCCCCCGGGGCGGTGCTACAGACTGAAGTGTCTTTAGGCCATTCCCAAAGGGGGGACATTAACGTGTTCTTAAATCTTTTGCTCAGTAGAATTGCAAATAGGCTGATTCATCAATGTCATGCTAACAACTGTGCCTGAACTGCACACGGGGAACTGCTGCTTTGTCTTTCCTAATCCTTACTATCGTCATTTTCCCTCTACTTCTTTTGTATGTTTGTCACTCTCTTGTGACCCACTATTTCCGGGGTGCCTTGATAGTCAATGCAGACTTTGTGCTGTTGAAGCTGGAGAGGTGAGCAGAGTAAGCCTGATTCCCTGTATGGACTTCTCTGTTGACATACACCCCTTGGCGCTCATAAAACCTTATGCAATTGCAAATGCCGTAAAAACTCTACTAAAACTAAACGAAACTCACATGTAGTGTAGAGAAAACCAACAAAGTGTCACTTAGAATACTTTTCATCTAATCCAAAGTGTGAGGAAAACTATTCTAAAGCGATAGATCTACTTAAAACAGGTTCGTTTGCTTTTGGCGGAGCGTTGAGAAGAAAAGTATTCTTACTTACGCACTTAAAATAGTTTTCTTCATTTTTTACCACTGGTTGCAATATTGTGAAGTGGGAAAAGTATCTTAACTGCCACATACAATACTTTCTTCAAAAAGTTTTCTCAAGTAGGAGTAAATATTATTATTTTTCCTTTGGGCTGGTAACCAAGGACCTAACTGTATCTTAACTTTATAACTCCCTTGGCTGTAACTCAAGTCATTTTTAAAGCTACGGCTCTGATGTTTTAACACAAGTTGTGTCCCTTGGTGGAAGTAATGGCCATTTTAAAATTTCATTTCGGCCTTCATAATTAATTGCTCTTGACCCGCGATGCGTGTACGTACTACGAGTATTTTTGTGAGTCTTTGTCCGTGTGTATGTGTGTGTGTGTGTGTGTGTGTGTGTGT